CCTGATTAGGGTGAACATCCCATTAGCCCTGCTGATGATGTCCAGCATACACATAATAACCTTGTGTAACTCATTCACTAGAGTACTTAGATTTCTCTGCACCTCAGAATTCATTCGAGTGACACTGCCCTTTTATCCTTTTAGCCAAAGTGAACAATTTCACATTTTCCCAAATTCTTATACATCTACCAAATTTTTGTCCACTCACTTATCAGTTTTCATCCTTGTCATGTCATCTTCACAACATATTTTTCTACCTATCTTTTTAATCATCTGCAAATGTGGCTATCATATCTTCAGTCCCTTATCTAAGTGTGAAGTAAGGTTCATGATTTATATCTATTCAAATGTCATTTCTTTTATAGTTTGGATTTGAGTTAGGGGTGGATTTCAGGTCTATGCGCCTGAACGGGTTTCAGAATTAACTTTTAAGTATTTTTGTAGCCATGGTTCATATTCTTTTAAAATACAGTAATAGAGGGAGAGTTCTTGGTTTGTAACAGGGTTTTGCTTTCATTGGGAGAATTTAAGAGTGAACAAAATCCATTAAGCTTTCAGTTTACAAGTTCAGGGATTTTTTTTCTTTTGATCATGGGAAACCCCCAGAGCTTGGGAAAAAGCTTTTCAGTTTCAGTTTAGGAGTTTTGCAGATGTCTTGGCTGTAGCTGGATGAGTAAAACAGTTGCTTCTGATGAAAGGAAATGGTTTAGAACTGTTATGAAATAGGTTACCTCAGTATAAGCAGTATAGTTTGATCACTCCAGACCAGAAATGATTAGGTCCAACCCTGAAAAAGTTATTTGAAATGAGAAATCTAAGTTGTAGTTCAAGCTCCAGGAAGAGGTAATCAGATTCTCAAGGCACGGAACTGAAAACCAATTAAGATGTGAGAGAGAGGAAACGTCAGCCTCTCTGCTCCTATGATGCTGCTTGGCCTGCTGTGTTCATCCAGCCCTGCACCTTGTTGTCTCGGATTCTCCAGCATCTGCAGTTCCTACTATCTAAGATGTGAGAGAGAAGGGCTGGTGTGAGTATTGTACAGGAATGCTTTGGGATTAACGAGAATTTGTTTTTTATTCATTCACAAGATGAGGACATCTCTGGATAGATTGACATGTACTGTCCATCCCAGACGGCAGTTAAGAGTCAACCACATTGCTGTGAGTCTGGAGTAACATTTAGACCAGACCAGGTAAGGATGGAATTTCCTTCCCTAAAGGGATTTTCTTCGTCAATGGTTTGGTGGTCATCATTAGACTCTTAATTCCAGATTTATTTTTAATTGAATTCGAATTCCACCATCTGCCATGGTGGGATTTAATCCCAGGACATTTCCTGGGGCTCTAGATTAACTGTCCAGTGATCACACCACTAGGCCATCACCTCCCCAGGCATTTCAAAATCTTTAAACTTGTGATATATGTAAATAGTTTGGATTTTTCCAATTTATCTTCACTGTTTTGCATAATAAACTTCTGTTTTATTGTTGAATCTGCTGAATTATGTGCTGGTGTTTCAGTCAAAAATCATCTCGTTAAAAGTTTAAAAAAAAATCCATCAAGCCAGATTTCAGTCTGGGATCTGACTTATCCAGTAATAACATCAGTTGGGATCATAACAAGTCATTGCTATGAAACGTCAAATATTGAACCAGACACAGACCACTATAGTACTCCACTCATCACATTCTGCTTTTATAAAACATTCATTCATGCATACTTTTTGGTTTCTGTCAGGCAACCAGCTAGCCAAACCTCTGGTCATGCTAGCATGTTACTTCCCAAACCATAAGCTCCTATTTTGTATAATAACCTTTTATGTGGACCCTTGTCAAATGCCTTCTGGAAATCCAAGTGGAATCAATGCATTTCCTTTTATCCAGAGCACATATTACTCCTTCAAGGAATTCTAATAAATTGGCTAAACAGGATTTCCCTTTCACAAAACAATGTTGACATTTTTTCACCCTCTATTATCTTGAGTGTTTCAAACTGCCTTACAACCCCCTTAAAGATCCATTCTAACAACTTCCCCACAACAGGCATTAAATTAACTGGCCTATAGTTTCCTGTTTTCTACCTCCCTCCCTGCTTGCATAGAAGTGCTAAATTTGCTACTTTGCTGTCTAATTGAATCTTTCCAGAATCTAGTGAATTTTGGAACACTAACACCAACGTATCTACTACCTCATTAACCATCTCTTTTAAAACCTTAAGATGAAGGCCATCCGATCCAGGAAACTTATCCACCCACAGCCCAATCAGTTTGTTTAGTACCGCTTCCCTAGGTACATCAAGTTCCTTTCTTTCTTCAACCTCCAGCGTAATATGTATTACTGGGATTTTTTGTATTCTCTATAGTTAAGACAGAAGTAAATTATTTATTCATTACTTCTGCCATTTCTTTATTAACTACTATTAACTCCCCATTCTCACCAGTAGAGGACCAATTCTCACTTTACTTTGTCTTTTCCTTTTGTGATACCTAGAAACTCCTGCTACCTGCTTTTACATTTCTAGCTAGCTTCCTCTTGCAGTGCAATTTATTATTAGCCCTGATTAACCTTTTAGTCATTCACTGCCATTTATATATTCTAACCAGTGAAATGATATGATTTCTGCCTAAATTTGATGCTCCCCTCAACTTCTTCAGTTAAGCATAGATAGTTGAACCTGTCCTTAAAATTTCTCTTCATTGTAGGAATGTACTTATACTGAAGTTCCTTTTATACGTCTGCCACTGCTACTCCAATTGTCTACATGCTTGCCTAATAACCAAGTTTACTTCTAGCTAGCTCAGCTTTCATGCCCACATAGTTGCCCTGCTTAAAATACTAGGCTTAGACTCACTCTTCTTTTCAAACTGGAAGTAGAATTCAATCACATTACAATCCCTGCAATCTACAGGTGCCTTTATTCTGAAGTCATTAATTAATTATGTCAGATTGTACAGTATCAAACAAGTCCAGTATGGCCTACTCTCTGCTCGTTTCCAGAATGTGCTGCTCTAATCAACTCTCTCAAAAGCATTCTATAAACTCCTATCTACGGTACACTGTGAAATTGAGACTGATGCAATATTGAGGCTACATTATAAAACACAGCACTGATTCACTACTGAGGGAACAGTGTGAAACAGAAAGCTGATTTACTTTCCAGGGTGGGTACGACTTAGGAGGATAATTCACTAATATGGGGTAAAGCTGACAAGGAACCCTTGACCAGCAAAGGTACATTGTGAAAAGGCACCCTTTTTCACAATCAAGAGTACAATGTGAAACGGGATGTTGAATCATTATTCAGGGTACATTATACAACAGCACTCTGATTCAGTATCAAGGGTTCAGTGTGAACAGGCTTTTGATTCACTTTATTTGGTATAGTATGAAATGGGATGCTGATTCACTACCAAGAGTACAGGGTGTCATGGAACCCTGTTTGATTGGTGAGGATAGAGTATGAAACAGGATGCTAATTCACTATTTGAGGGTACAGATTGCAATGGGGCACTGATTCACTATCTAGGATACCTGAGAAATGGGATGTTGAGAAATAGGAGCTACAGCATAGAATATGATATTGATTCACTATCAAGGGTACTGGTTCACTACCTAGTGTATGACGTGGAGCTGCCGGTGTTGGACTGGGGTTGGACAAGGTCAAAAATCACACGACACCAGGTTATAGTCTGACAGGTTTATTTGACATCACAAGCTTTTGGAGTCACCTGACAAAAGAGCAGTGCTTCGAAAGCTTGTGATTTCAAATAAACCTCTTAGACAATAACAATAATTTTGACTATCTAGTTTATGGTGTGAAAAAGGCACTGAGTTACTGTTTGGAATACAATGTAAAACAGATCATACTTCATTATTGAGACTAGCAATGGTACACAAGTAGCCTTGTCTACTTTGAAATGAAAGACACTGCATGCATGTTCCAATAGTTAAAGCCTTAGAAGACTAGTCATTGTTCAGTAGAAATTCTGCAAGTGCACCAATTCAGACAATTTATTTCAAAGGTTCTATTGAAGAGTGAAGGTAAACAGCAATGCTGATGAGTCAGTATGTAGTAATGAGATGTTCAGAGTCACATCTTGATTTGTCACAGGGCGTGGTACAGGTGCCAAGTACAAATCTGCTCATTGCATTCATTGTGCATTTTGTGCTGATGATGTGAGTAAATCACCTGATCTGTGGCAGTACAAGAGAACCATATGCCCACTTAAAGAGAGAAACAATGAATAATAATGAGCTTTTTCTGCCTGTGTCACTAGTACAGTGCTAGGTACATTTTGCTGTCAAAATTATTTTGTTAAATTAATAATGGTGTGGGAACCACAATGACAACTCAAACACAAATATATGACTATGATCTGCGAGATTACCTTAGACTTCAGGGAGAGTAAACAGGGGATTTTGGGATGTTAGAAAAACAAAATATGAGGATGGGAAAGGTTTAAACACTAATTTATTTTTGTTCTCAGTGCTTAAGCTTATTACGTTTCCCAAGGATGACTATGAGGATCACAACATGGAACTCTACCAATTGGAAATAATTACAAAGGCATGGAGAAACAGCAGAAGTACAAACCATTAATTGGATAGCTCTTTCAAAAAACCAGCATAGACATGATGGGTAAAATGGCCTCCTTCTGTACTGTATGATTTTATGAATTATCATCAATGCTACAAATTTTAGCAGCTTTGGCTCCAAGGTTGAATTTATTGGAAGCACTCTTGTTTCGATACAGTTGAGATTAAGAAATTATTAACTAGATGGATAACACGCAGACATCCATTCTTCTGTATGAAATAGATTCACAGGTGCATTTCTTGATCAACAATGGTGGCATCAAACAGAGGATCAGTAATTGAGAGGTAACGACACTCAGTGTTTTGAATGGGAGAGGGAAGTACTATCACTAATCTCATCTGATCAATAAAATGATCTGTCTGAAAACTTTTGATGCATAACTATTAAACAGTTAACAAGTACAGTTCATATGCCACATGTGTAATTGTACAGCAAATCCAGGTAATTTACAGAAGTACCATAATCCAAGGCATTGTTCATATAAGCTTTGTTGTATTTCAAAAGGTTCTCTTTGTGTTTGATCACACAAACTGGAAATACGATGATCCACAAGAAATGGTTATCATAACTTGAATTATTTCTTCTTTGCTACATTATTTAAGTATGTATAGACTAAGCATTAAAAATGCTGGTGACTTGTATTACCATGGTGATCAAAGTTAATAGCAACACCAGCATTAATTTGACTGTGGAAAACATACTGGCATTCAATTTACTTCAGCCTGGCCACACATTCTTCTTTATTTCCTGTCTATTTCATGGTCTAATCTTTCTAAGTCTCCATAATTCATAATTATATTAAAAAGAACTTACAATTATATGCTACCCTTATTCAAATAACAATTATTGAATGTAGCTGTTGTTTTGTAGACAAACTTTGCAGAGATTTACACAGCAAGATCCCACAAACAGCACTGCAAAAATAATCACATGAACTATCTTTGATGGTATTGTTTGAGGGAAAGTTAGCCAACACACTGGGAGGGATCACTGCTCTCACTGAAATTGTGCAATGAAATCTCTAACATCTATTTGAACATACATGAGTTTACTGTCTCATGTCAAAGATTGCATTCTTAGCTGAGCAATAATTTTTTGATGTAATAGTGAAGTATCAGCTGAATTGTGGCCTTAAATTCTTGGAATCAGGCTTGACTCTATGATCAAGGAGAGACTGCGGCGACAGAAAATCTGACACTAATCCTAACAACAAACTTTTTTCATGTATTATTTCATTCTATATTTCATTCATTATTTTAATAATGCCTGGTGAAAACTGTAAGTAAAAATGAGTGAATTCTTAAAATGCTGCTGATTAATGAGCCAAAGGTCCAGCTGACCCATTTCTTGAATTGCCCCCAAATCACTGAAACTGAGATGTGACACACATCATTTGTTCCTCTCCTTCCTCACCCATGCTTAATTTCTTGCTCCATATTGCAATGCTGATGAAGATCCTCACCTCTCCTAGGTTTCAAGCTGTGTACAGAATTTTGGGCATTGTACATTCATTAATGGTACAAGAGGAATTGGATGGATTTGGATGCAATGGCATGGAGAATAACTCAGTATATATTCAATTGCATTCGTTCAGCCTTAGAAACCAGTGCAACAGTTCAATTTCTCTCTGTTGCACTGAAGCTGATCTTACCAGAGAGAGAATAGTCTGTATTAGTTATCCGCATGGCAGGAGTGTATGATACACTGGGCATGTCGTGTCCTTTCTCTTTCTTTTTCCATTTGTACCAGATGAACAGAACCAGTAGTACAACTATTATCAAAAGAAGAATAATGATCCCAGTTATGGCTCCAATGGAGTGCTTGTCTGATGCTAGTGCTGGACTGATTCTTGTGTAGGGGTTTAGTTCATCCATCAGTAGAGCAGCTGGAAAAGAAAGCAGATTTATTACAGGAAGAACACATGTGACTTTTAATTGTACCACATTACACACATGAAGTTTAAAACACAGAATCAAAAATTCAGCTTGACAAAGGCTGCAATCATGCTTCTTCACCCCTTTTGTCATCTCACTTCACCAGATTATCCTCTATTCCTTTTTCGCTCACATTTTTATTTGTTTATGAGATGTAGGTTTTGCTGGTTGGATGAGCAATTATTGCTCATTCCTAACTGGAGGAGAGCAGATTTCCTTGACTAGGAGATGGCATCCTCCAGCATAGCAGCACTCTCTCAGTGTAATATTGCAGTCTTAGCTGAATTGTGCACCTAAATCCCGAGAATCTCTAAAGGGCATTAATGAACTAGAGTTTTTTTTACAATCATTGACAATGGTTACATGGTCACCATTAGCCAGATGGTCTGGAGTACCAGTCCAGTGACATTATCAGCCTATAAAAGCTGCACATATACAGCTTCCCCTTAACTTCATCTATGTAAGGATTCCAAATGAATATGGCTGGTTTAAAGTGTTATTAATAAGGTTTTCTCTATTAAAAGCTAAACTTCAAAAAAAGAGAGAATTTGAAACCAAATACAGGAGATTGGGTGTTATGCACTATGACATAATGTATCATCTCAAGTAGCCAGCATTCGGCAACATCAAATTTTCTGTATATGGTGTAATCTACAAATGACTTCCTCAAATGAAGATTTGCTAAACCAGATAGTATGGAGTGTGTCCATTCTCCTAATTGTATTGTCCAAAATTATTTGAACTGAGCAAAATGGGATCTACCTTAGTGGATTTGATTTTTCATGCAGTTCTCCATACTGTCAAGGTGCAAGTGATGTTACTGTTGAGCAAGTTGTCAGGACATCGATATCACTTACATGGTCAATTGATCCACCACAATTAACCATTTCTTTGTGAGAATGCATCATTGAGTGGAATCTTGTTGAAGCAGTGGGGTGTTATTAGCCAGATGGAAACTTGATGAGAGACTCGTGATACCTATTCCAGAAATACCTACTGTGCCACACATCAAACAGGTGGTGGCAAGGTCATCAGCGGAGACTGGAATCCAGTCTCCCAGGGAGTGGATCCTCCGATGGGAGCTTCTGTCGATTAGCGTGGTAGCTGCTGCTCAGCAGTGTTATGTGGTAAGTGCTGGATTCAAAGGCAGCGGTTAGCTTCCACTTAGCACATCCCTGTGTTAAGTCAAGCCTTTTGATCAGGTACATCACCCCCAAAGTGACAAGTTGCTAACACTTTTTGACCCGTTGGGCACATTGCATAGCCCTAGCCTGTTTGCAGCAGTGGCAGACTGAAGCTCTGAAATGGCCACTTAAAGACCTCAATTGGTAGTGGGCAGGAAAATTGACCAGAAGCCTTCCAACTCAAATTTAATTTTGTTGTAGGTGAGAAGGCACCGCGGTTTGAGAATGCCACTGGCCCATCTATTAAATGCCCCTTCTCTCTCCAAATTCACCATCTCCAGGAGCAGAATATTCCAATCACTTTCTGCTTCGAATCTTCCTCCAAATAATATTTAGCGACCAGCTACATACTACCTCTCCCATGTGAGTGCCATGTTCACAGAAGATGACACAATATCCTGGACTCCCACTTAAGTAACCGTTACCTGCTGGTATAAAACATGTGAAAATTGCTGGAATATTCATCAGTTTCTATTCTCTGCAGCACCTCCCGGAAGTATTCTCTCCAAGGAAGGAAACCTGCTTCAATCATGCAAAACAGCCTTCTGAACGGAGATTTGCTGGCATTCTGCTAAAAGGAATTCCCAGGTCATACCTCGCACACAAAAACTATGGTCTATGAATCAGCCACTCACTGTATATCTCTTGATGCTTGGAGTTTAAACCACTGCCCATCATGCTGAATGTTGAATTTTATGGCTTCATAATAACGTCAGGAGAAGAGGGGGAGAGTGAAAATCAATGAGAAAAAAATCTCCTCTGTGATGGATCCAAACCACAAAGTCCCACTTGACCCAAAAGCAGTTTTCAGTAAATCATTCCCAAATTCTGACCCTTCACAATAGGACACTTTTAAATTGTGACTGGCATTGATTCTGTATAAAGGAAAATTCTGATTTCTACTTTTATGAGATTTTATTTAAAACAATTGATGCATGGAAATTCCAAATGGTTCAGATCAAGACTTCCTGAATACCCCAGCTTCTGGTCTAGCTTTGGCCACAGTCACCTCATGAGGAGCAATGCAATTGCCTTTTCTTTAATTGGGCTCTTGTGACACAATGGTTGCGTCCCTAACTCTGGCCCAAGAGGCCCGGGATCAAAGCCCATTTCCTCCAGAGGGATGTGTAATAACATCTTTGATACAGATTGATTAGAAAATATCTCTACATGCATCACATACCTTGGTCACACCGGATGCCTTTGAATCCAGATGTGCAGTAGCAAGTCCCAGTCACATGATCACAGGTGCCATTATTCATGCACTCACATAGCTGTTGACAACCATAGCCAAATGTACCAGGAGGACACTCTATAAAGCATTGGAAATGTAAATTCAGGGTTTACACAGTCTCTCTACATGCTAATGAATTCAGTAATGTCAAGGTTTAAGGCAGTTATGAAATAGTATTCATGATTTTGAAAAAGTGAACTTTCTTAGGAGCTCCGTTTTGAAAAAAATTCTACTGACTATGATCTATTTGTTTATTTGTTTCGTCTTATGTCACAAGTTACTAGATAGAAGTGGCTGTTTAGATGCATGTTGTACATATCCAGAACATATTAAAATTCCTGCATCTGTGCATGTCCTATCAACTCTTTCCATTATAAATTTCCATGTCCTCAATTGTATTGAAAATTGCCTGTATAGCCTTTTCTTGATTATTACCAGTGAAGTGTGTAATTACAAGGTAGTTGATCACCCATCTTAGTGCAGCTAGTCAAAGCCTAGATTTAGTTTTCAGGTGAAAGGGAGTTAGAGGGTAAAAGATAATTGTATCAGAGTATGTAGATGTAAATCAGTTGACAAGGTCATAGAAGCTTTCTTTATTTTTCTACTTGCATAATAAATTTGTGTATCTGAATTATAATGAAAACATGCCCCTAAAAGTTTAAAATAGGGAATGCATTATGTCTATGTACCTTAGTCCAATATTTTTCCCCGATCTCTAACCTTGCTTTACTTGCATATAATACGTAGTTTTGACTCTCCATCTGCAAAATGGAGCATCAATAATTGCCTCGTTTGTCTTTCTTTGCCAAAATCATACCTTTTGCATGGGTATATTTACTTACACATGCATACAGTATATTAGAAGCTCAGTGCATTTCCTTTTTTGTTAACTTCCTGCTTTTAATCTTTATTGATTGTCTCAATCAATATAAGCTATGTTGTTATAAATATTATTAGAAAAATACTGGCATTTATATAGTTCTTTTCAAGGGCACTGGATGTCTCAAAATGCTTAACACACACTGAAGCACTTTTGAAATATAGTCACTGCTATAAATGTAGGAAATACAGCAGCTAACATGTACAGTAATCTTCCACAAACAACAATGCAATAATTATATTATAAGCTGCTTCTTTTGTGCTATTGATTGAGGGATAAATATTGGCCTGGATATTAGGAAGAACTCACAACTGTTAGTCAAGTAATGTTATGAAATCTTTTACACCCTCCTGTGCTGGCAAATCGAAACTCAGTTTAATATCTTACTCAAAATATAGCATGAATGACTATGCAGTACTCCCTCAATATCACATTGGAACATCAGCCTCAATTAAATCCTGAAGTGGGACTTGAACCTGTAATATTGTGACCTTGAAGTGAATGTGCTACCAATGGAGACACAGACAATGACATTGACAATATTATTAATATATTAGTGCTGAATTCCCTTTCTGGTTAAGACAATAAGCCTGGTTACACTATTGTCTTGTAATTTTGAACAGATCTAGCAGCTCAAAACAGGACATCCAGGAGATGTTGTGGGCCATCAGAGCAACAGAACTATATTTAATCACAAACTGTAACCTCATGCCCCTGTCCACCCCCACTCTATCATGGCCATCAATTCAGGAGATCAATCGGAATGGTGGGAAGGCATACCAGAAATTGCAGAAGGCATAACTAAAAGTGAGGTGTCATGAAATCCTTATAATATGGTAGTAGACCTTTTGGCCCACTGAGTCCACACAGACCCTCCGAACAGCATTCCACCCAAATGCACCCCCCATTCCTATTCCTGTAACCCTGCATTTCCCCTGGACATTGTGGGAAATTTAGCATGGCCAATCCACCTAACCTTCACATCTTTGGACTGTGGGAGGAAACTGGAGCACCCAGAGGAAACCCACGCAAACACGGGGAGAATGTGCAAACTCCACACAGTCACCCGAGAGTGGAATCGAACCTGGGTCCCTGGTGTTATGAGGCAGCAGTGCTAATCACTGCGTCACTGCGCTACCCCAACCTAGTGAAACTACAATAGAGGACTACTTGTATGCCAAACAGTTGAAGCAGCATATGACAGACAGAAGTAGGTGGTCCTGCAAATGATTTGTTCAGATCTTCAGTCTGGTCACATCCTGTAATGAGAACAGTGGCCAATTCAATTGGAGGAGGGTATTCCACAAACAACCCTGTCCTCAATCATGGAGGAGCCAAGAACATCTGTGCAAAAGAGAAGGCTAAACTATTGCATCCATCTTCAGCCAGAAGTGCTGAGTGCATTAACCAAACATATTCTTCAATGAAATTCCCTCCATCACAAAGTCAAATTTCACCACCTTCCATGGATGTTTGCTGATGATCGCACAATGTCCATATACATCAAGACTTAGTCAGCACTGAGGCTTGGGCTGAGAAGTGGCAAGTAACATTCATGCCACACAATTGCTAGCAAATGACCATCTTCAACAAGAGAAGGACATTTAGAATGTCAAAGGTTACAGATGCACAGAAACATAACCACTTGCAAGTTTCCTCCAAGCCGCGCACCTTCCTGACTGGTTCAAACTCCTGGAACCTCCTTCCTGACTGCATGTGGGTGTACTCAAAGTCCATGAGTGCAGTGGTTAAAAAAGGTTGCTCACTATCATCTTCTCAAGGGCAATTATGGATGAGCATAAATGTTGACCTAGCCAATGACTCACATCCTATGAAAAACTAAACATAAAAAAATCAATTGCATGGGTTTTCTTGTGCTTCAACATTAAAACATTCCCTACATTGCCCATAACAATGTAGGAAAATTTCTACCAAACATGATGCAAATAACAAAATCTTTTGAATGATGTACATTCAACATTTGGATATAATACATAACAACAGTTTACAACACACAGCTTTCCATAAGTGGGTGACACTTTGTACATTCTCCATTGCTTCCAGGGGTAGAGTGTGCATAAGGAGCTACCAGATTGGTTCATTATGAGCTACGTTCCCAAAAACCTCCTATGCAGATCTGCAGAAATTATGCATAGGATCACATAACCCTAGTGGAAAATCAAGGTTCCTGAGTGCATCTACTTTTAAAGCAGGACTTACAACTAATCTGTGTATTACTGCTGTCAAGTCATTTGCAAAATACTGCTGTAATACTGTTTTATGTCCTGCCTTGAGGGTGTAGGAAGAAAACAGAGAAAATGGGTCGATGTATATAATGTTGAGTTTTATTCCCAGTTTCCCAGAAGACTGAACAATCTCTTTATTTGCACATTAATGACTTGATTTTGAACTAACCTAGTATGTGAGGAAATGGATGATTTTCTTGTGTGCCTAATAACCACAGGAAAATCACTGTATCTCACAGTTTTGTGGAAGCCTGTCAGAAAGATGCTGTAGAGAATGAATATTCCCTATTGCTCAGGAAACAGCCACAATGTGTGTAACATGAAAAGGTCTGACAGAGAAGGGATTTACATCACTGAGAAGGTTCCATAGGTTCAGTTAAAGAGATAAGGACTCTTCAATGAATGCTACAACAAAAGGATATACTCTATTGAGACAAATGTCTGTTCTAGTCTTCTGTTTGAGAGGGGTTAGATTTAATGAATTGAATTTTGTTTTCATAATTTTGTCTGTGTCATCAGCAACACAGAAATGACCTCAGATGTGTCAAGTTCTTAATGCTGTGACTGTAGCTTTTTGCTGAAAAATATACATAGGTTTTTACACGTGGATCTATGACAATTGACCACTGATGTCAGTGGTAGTGAAATTAATGGAAAAATTTCTGAGGGACAGGATTAATCAATACTTGGAAAGGCAGGGATTAATTGTGGCTAGTCAGCATGGATTTCTTAGGGGGAGATACTGTCTGAACAATTTAATTGAGTTTTTGAAAAGGTGACTAAATATATTGATGAGGGTAGTGCAACTGATGCACTTTACATGGACTTAAGAAAGGCCTTTGACAAAGTCCCATGTGGAAGGTTCGTCCAAAAAGTAAGAGCCCTGGGATCCAAAAGTGGCTTGTGGATAGGGTGATGGTGGACAGTTGTTTTTGAATGTGGAAGCCTGTGAACAGCGGTGCACCACAGGGATCAGCACTGGGACCCTTGCTGTTTGTTATGTATGTTAACAACTTGGATGTGAAGAATGAAGGGAAAATTTGTCAGTTTGTAGATGACAGGAAAATTGATGGTATTGTTGACCATTAGGAGGATGGTCTCAGGCTGTACTATGATATTGATCAGCTGGTAAATTGGGCAGAGGAATGGCAGGTGGAATTTAATCCTGATAAGTGTGAGGTGATGTGTTTCGGGAGGTCTAATATGGGAAGGATATACACAATGAAGAGTAGGTCCCTAGGGAGTACTGAGGAACAAAGGGACCTTGGTGTTCAAGTCCATAGATCCTGAAGGTGTCAGCACAGGTAGATAGGGAGGTGAAGAAAGCACATAGTCATACAGTCATACAGCACAGAAATAGACCCTTCAGTCCAACCAATCCATGCTGAACATAATTGCAAACTATGTGATGCTTAGGGCATACAATATAGGAGCAAGGAAGTTTTGTTACAACTTTATAGAACATAAGTTAGGCGACAGATGGAATACTGTTTGCAGTTCTGGTCATCACACTACTAGAAGGATGTCATACTGGAGAGGATGCAGAGGTGATTCACCAGGATGTTGCCTGGGATGAAAAGTCTCAGTTATGAGGAGAAATCAGATAGGCTGGGTTTATTTTCTTTGGAGCAGAGGAAACTGAAGGGGATTCTGACTGAGGTACACAAAATTACAAAAGACATAGGAAGGGTAAATTGTGAGAATCTTTTCCCTATGGCAGACTTACATAAGATCACAAGTTTAAGATGAGGAATAAATGATTTAGAGGAAATCCAAAGAAAAATGTTTTCACTCAGAGGGTGGTAAAAGTTATGTACGGTGCCTGAGAGGATGGGGGAGGCAGGCACTCCTTAACATTTAAGAAGTATCTGGATGAGCACTTAAAATGCCAGGGTATAGTAGGCTATAGACCAAGTTCAGATAAATGGAATTAGTGTTTTTTAAAAAATCATTAACAGGGTGAGGGCATCACTGGCTAGGTGGCATTTATCACCCATCACTAATTGCCCAGAGGGCAATTTCAGAGTCAACCACATTGCTGTGGGTCTGGAGTCACATGTAGGCCAGACCAGGTAAGGTGGTCAGTTTCCTTCCCTAAAGGACATTAGTGAACCAGATGGGTTTTTCCTGACAATTGACAATGGGTTCATGGTCATCAATAGGTTCTTAACTTCAGACATTTATTGAATTCAAATTCCACCATCTGTCATGGCAGGATTAGAACCTTAGTCTCCAGAACATTACTGGGTCTCTAGATTAATAATCTAGTGGTAATACCAATAGACCATTGCCTCTCCTTAAACTGGAGTTGGAGTTGTTATGGCTTTGTGAAATATGTGATGGTTGGTGATGCTCTCTACTTCATGTAATGTGAAAAGAATGTGTTTGCATTTCTGCTGTTTCACTCACTCTGCTCACAGTGTTTCCCAATGAATCCTGTGCGACACATGCATTCTCCTGTCACATGATCACAGTCTGCTCCATTTTGGCATTTGCAGAGTTGAATGCAATCTTTTCCATAGAAGCCCATTGGGCACCCTGAAATATAAATACTCTGTTAGACCAGGTTTTACATCATACTATTAATTTCTTTATCATTACTTTCTAATATGAGAATAAATATGTAGGAACGGTCCAGATGTCTGAGAACCATAGTCAGCTGGGAAATTCTTTAAACTCTGGTTATTGAAACAACTTACCATCATACAGCTGACAATGACAGCAAGCAGTAGGAGCAGACAGTGACAGGGAGGGGAACGAGTACACATTTATGCCCCAATCCTCACATGGAGCTGACAATCTTCCACTTGGGCTCTGTATGGAGACTTCTATTGCATTTTTGCCTCAGATTCGCTTCTGTTTTACTTTGGAATTAATGAAATCCCATTCTCAGGAGACCAAGTTTCCAAATCACATATTCCTGTGATTTCAGCAAATCATCAATTACAATGAAAAATTGTCATTTCTAATTTTCAAATTGGAGACAGATATTGACCCTGGTGTCTGGAGACTTCAGAATTAGTTGTTTTATAGAGATTTATTGATTCGCATCAATGAAATCCCTGACGTCATAAAATTGGCTGAAACAGCATTAGAAATATTTAAGTGTACCACGGAATAATTATTTTGACATTGAACGGTCTACTGTATTACTCTGCTCCACCACAAGGTGGCGAACCCTTCACACGTTCACTGTTTCAGAGATAGTAGGAACTGCAGATGCTGGAGAATCTGAGATAACAAGGTGTAGAGCTGGATGAACACAGCAGGCCAAGCAGCATCAGAGGAGCAGGAAAGCTGACGTTTCGGGCCTAGACCTTTCTTCAGAAA